ACTAATGAACCTAAATCTGGTTTTGTCATGGTAATAAGAATACAGGCAAAATTACTGCTATTAAAAAAGGATATAATATGGGAATATTTAAACATATTTATGTTTAAATACACACGAGCATAAACTTACTCTGTGTCATAAATGAAAAAAATAGTCATTTCAGGTACGTACAGTTAAAGTAGTGAAGAGAAAACAGAACAATTGCTAAATTGAGGAAATTACTTTCTTAAGGAAAAAGGACAAAATGAATATAATTGGCACACAAGTTGCCAAGATAATTTTAAAATGAAGAAAAAAGTGAAAACCAATTTGTCAGTTCTTCAGATTCTGTATAGATGAACTGATTTTAAAGATGTTAATGTTTTCAATGTTTTAGTTATCATAGCACTAGGAATAAGAAGAATGTTACTAGATGGAATTGTTTCAAATATATAAACAAATAAGTGTTTATACTTATGTATAATAACAATGAGCAATAAAGCAATATAATTAAGTGAAGGAAAAACAGTGTGAACTTGGAATTTCAACTATTATTACTGGGGTTTTCCAAAGAATATGGCCAAAGGCTTCTTAAAATTTCTTTGGTTATAAACTAAGGATGTAGGAACATAACTAAACATTCAGACAGATATTTGTTGATACTGGCCAGAAAATTTCAAATTTCATTCTTATGGCTATCAAATGCCCATTATCATAATGGACATACATTTTACCTAAATACATAACACAAACTGCTCAAATGAATTTGGGGGGAAAAGTTATTTTTCAGGAGCAGTGATTAATATTTAATCTAAAGAAAGTTTAATTAGAATAAAACATTTAACAAAACTAAACAAAAAGGAAATAAAATTTTGGTTACTTACCAGCAAGGGTACTTGTATGCCTAAAAGCTCTGACCTGGGAGTCTGACAAACCAGTCAAAAGGGAGATAACTGTGTCCATCATATACTCATCATAAATTATGCTATACTGACACTGTCGAATCAGGACTCCAATAAATTCACAAAAGTTTGAACGAAATTTTTTCCACTGAGGTCCAGGCATGGTAAGAGGATAATCACCACTGTCCTAAAAGGGATAAAGAACATATTAAGTAATGTCATATGATAGCAGTGTCATCAAAGTATTTTTTTTCTTCCTACCTATATAGGAACCCTTTTTTGAAAAGTACATGTAGATAGAAATAGGTGATTTTTATAGGTACATCGATTGCTTTATCTTTTTTTTGGTTTTGATCTACCACAACTAAATAACTCTTTTTTTTAAAGAGACAGGGTCTCCCTCTGTCACCCAGGCTTGAATGCAGGGGTGCAATCATAGCTCACTATAACCACGAACTCCTGGGCTCAGGCGATCCTCCCACCTCAGCCTCCTGAGCAGCCAGAACTACAGGCATGTACCATCAAGCCCAGCTAATTTTTATGAATTTTTAAGAATTGAGAATTTCAAAAGTATAAGCATTTCACTGAGAAGTCTAAAACTAACCTTTCGTGTTTGAAACTTCAACCTCATTTCTCCCAATTTTATTATGAACTTGATGTAAATTCTACCTCATAGAGTAGATTTATTAACTTAATTAAGAAAAAAATTTGAGCCTTGCATTGTGGCTTGCACCTGTTGTCTTGGGAGCCTGAGAGTTCAAGGCCAGCCTGGGTGACACAATAAGACTCTGTCTCTACAATAAATAAAAAAAAACTAATACGGGCTCTCGGTATCACCAGATTGTGTCATCTTGTTTAAAACACAAAACTGAGAGTTAAATCCAACTGGTTAGTGGCTTCCCTCTCTAGCCTACAACATTTAAGTACAGAAATGTAAACTCACAAGGCAGAGAGTGAGAAATTCTGTGAACATGGTTGCCAGAATATTCTCAATGTGTGGCTTTTGCTTTTTCTAAAACAAACTGTTGGTAAAAAAAATTGTTTATAGGTGAGGCCTTAATAAGCTTTGTTCATGTCCTAGGAAAGAGAACTAGTATGATACACAGAATAGTAGATCCTAAGAGCAAGGAACAGAAAGCAGAGACTGGGAAGAGACTGGCACTCAAGAGTCAAAATCCCAGAAGAAAGTTAATGTTGGTGCCACATGAGTATTATGAGTTCAATGAACCCTCAAAAGATCAAGAAAACTAAAGAGGCTGGCTGATTCTTCCCAGCCTTTGAGACTTGGAGTGTGGGGGTAGACTGGAGAAGTTACATAGAGTGGAGAGTCAAGACACTTCCCAAAGATATCTCAGCAGCCTACCTGCTGCTTCAATACAACAATAGTCCACTAGAGTAGAGCTCCTCTTACTTTATACCAGCTGAGAAATTCAGCCATTTAGTGATCCGTAACAACTGAACCTAGGCCCTAAGGAGGCTACAAAGGAAACTAACTAAATAGCCCCAACAGCAAGTGAGAGGAAAGAAAGGCAGAATAATCAGGACATACCAAACCTGAATAAATAAATAACAAATAAATAAGTACACATTACAAGATTCAAATGCAGCACAACCAACCCACCAACAAAACCCCAAGGAACTAAAAGGTTTGATTTCTTAATTAAACAATTCAGTTGATGAAATGAAGGAAAGAATGATCATTGATAGGAGATACATTAGTAGCCTGGAAAATAATGTGTAAAAAATATCTGAGAGTAGGCCAGGAGCGGTGGTGCACACCTGTTGTCCCAGATACTCGGCAGGCTGAGGAAGGAGGATAGCTTGAGCCCAGGAGTCTGAGGGTTGCAGGGAGCTATCATGGGGCTTCTGGAAAGACATTTAAAATGGACAAACTCGGCCAGTATGACCTCTTTAGTCCTTTGTCCCTTCCTCCTTTCACTAATCTTGAACTTATATGTGGTGCTGGATGTTCAACAGCCATCTTGCAACCATGACAGGACAAGTATGAGGATAAAGAATAGTAGAAGAAAAGGATGGAAAAAGTCTAGGTTCTTTATTGCCCTACTGAACTTTAGTACCAACCATGTACTGTCTATTCCCACATTTATTTGGCATGAGACAAACTCCTGTGAGTTCAAGCCAACGTTGGTCAGTTTTCCTATTACTCACAGACAAATGAATATCTACTGTTGGAGCAGAATTATGAGCAGTGGAGAAAGATGGATTACTTAGTAAACGATTCTGGTACAATTGGTGTTCATTACTGCCTTACTCTTAGGATGTAGAAGGCTACAAACAATGTGAATAAGCCAAATCAACAACAAAAGTCTTGACTTTTCTTGAGCCCATCTTGAGCTGAAGCAACTTGAATTCTAAAGAATGATAAGCCCTCCAAGAAGAGATGAGGCATACAAACTCTATCACCTGTAGCAGAGCCTGGGCAGAAAAGGCGGCCACCTTAAAAGCGGGTGAGAAGAAATCAACTAAAATTTTAATGAACCGTCAAACACTAAGTGTGAGCTAGCCTGTCAGTATGGAGTAACAAAGGAAGTTTGCACTTACTCAAAACTATTTTCCACAGGTCTCAACAGGGTGCTCACAACAAAGCCTAGGGACAGAGCAGAGAAACAGAGAACACCTCTCCTGGTGACGCAGGCTGCAGAGGGTAATTTTCAACTGCTAGAGAAAGGCAAGAAGCCCAGCTCACTTATCTAGACCTTTCTCTCCCAGAAATCAGAAGCCTTAATCTCGCTGGAGGAGGAATAGCAAGCTGAGTAATCCCCTAGGCACAGGCAAAAACCCACTGCAGCTGAGAGAAGAGTAGAAGAAAAAAAACTCTACTTGAGGAGAGGAGACAAACACTATACTGGGACCTGAATCCTTTATCAATAACAAGCAGAGGTTTGCTAGCATTGGGAGTGGGGAAGTAAACTCCTACTCAAGGCCCACAAGGCATAAGGCAGAGGTTGGCTGCTACAGAATGGAGGTACAGGCAAGTTGAGAAGGCCCCTTGGTGGCTCCAGGCACATAGGGCATGGTTATAACTGAGGCAGGACTACGACAATACATATTCCCATCATAGTAATAGGCAACAAACAACACCACTCTACCACTAGGGGAAAGGGCAAAAGTGTGAAGAGAAACCTCCTCTGTGGCACTGGGGTGGAGAGAAAGCAGAGGTTCTGAGGGTAGAGCATGAACACTGCGAAAAATCTTCTGTATCCTAAGCACAAGTCAATAGCGGCCCGCCACTAGAGAAATCTGAAGCCTGTGGTATGTTAAAGATAAAGATAGCAACAACAAAACACAAACCTAACTCAATTCACACTAGACTAATTATGTATACCATTTTGTACTTTTTAGTTTTTGCACTATGTGCAACTAAAAAAAAGAAAAACATTTTGTAAAAAGAAAAGAAAATCTCCTGTATCTACTTCAAAAGCGTTTCTTAACTCTAATACTAGTTATAAATTTCTTCTTCCTATACCCACTTATACATGCCATGTAAAAAGAATTGTCTAGTTAACAACGGGTAGTGTGGTATTGAAAACTAGCTTATGAGCAACGATGAATGATGACTCCCTATATACATTCCTTTGAGAAAAATACTAGCTCCCTTCATAATGTAGTAGTGTCTTTTCTCAGGAAAGCAAAGATTACTAAATAATGACAAAACAGAGATAATAATCGAGTGACCCCAATGCCTCATCCACCACTACTAATATTTAAGATCTTTGAGGGCAGTCTTATGATGATGTTTAACATAAAAAATATACTGAATAAACTAATGAAAAGATAAAACATATCCGATAAGCAACATGCATGGCAAGGCAGAAAGAAGTTTAGGGGCCAGGTGCAGGGACTCACACCTGTAATCCCAGCACTTTGGGAGGCAAAGGTGGGAGGATAGCTTGAAGCCAGGAGTTCAAGACCAGCCTTGGCAACGTAGTGAGACACCCTCACATCTTCTCTACAAAAAACAGAAAAAGTAGCCAGGTATAGTGGTGTGTGCCTGTAGTCCTAGCTACTCAGAAGGCTGAGGCAGGAGGATCACTTGAGCCCAGGAGTTCAAGGCTGTACGGAATTCTGATTACGTCACTGCATTCTAGCCCAGAAGACAGAAAGAGATCCTGTCTCAATTAAAAAAACATAAAAGTTTAGGGTAGAAAAAATATCTGGCAAAAATCCACAAAGAAGGATAATGCAGAGTTAATCAAAAAGGTCTAGTTAAAAAAAAAGCAATTCTTCTGAATATGTTCAGGAAAAGTACCGGAGGAGAAATCTCTGTGTAGTAAAACGTAATATAGGTACAGCATTTATATGGTATGCACTTAGCACATACATAATCTTGTATAGTACATACACTGTGGTGACTACTGGTATGTATAAAGATGAGAGAAACAACACATTAAGAAAAACAAAGAACTTGTTCTAGATTCCAGAACTACAGGGTTCTGGTGCTGGGATTATAAAGTCCATGTATTCTCTACAATGGGACTTGACATGGTTTACCAGAGGAACTTTGGAAGACAGAGGGGTTGTCTATGATTGTTCTTCCAATAGAGGGACACTGGGGTTCTGCTCACAAATGGAAAACCAAGGAACTAATGGAAAAATCTATTTTACAAGTTTTGGAGACGCTAATGGGGGAGAGGAAGGAAAACAGTGCCAAGCTTCACGGGCCAGCAACAAAAACTAGAAGATTTATAATCTCTGACTGGGGTGAGAACAACAATCTCAAGAGAGGTCCACTGCAAGTTTAAGCTCATGTAGCTAGCAGAGGTAAAGGCTGACTGCCTAATCTTTAAGCATTTGAATTCTAATAGTATCCAAGAATGATCTCTAGAAAATTAAAATTAGCAATGAAACAGTTTTCACAGGTATTTGGGGACTCAATGTGGTCATAAACTATAGATATCTAAACAGATAAAACATTCTGTAAGAGCAAATGCAGGAGAATTGCTTTTTGGACCAGCTGACGGACAATGTTGTCCTGTTTTTGGTGAAACATTGGCTTTGGTTATCTAATTGGAACAGAGTTACCAAGATATATACCACTATTGCTTAAAATAATGATTCACAAACACTTGTTTAGAGGGCAGAAACTATCCACCTATCCAATCACCTATTCACCTATCCATCTAGTCATACATTTATTGAACAATGAATATGCTCCTGACACTTTAT